ACGTTAACTGTCACAGGAACATTCTAGAAACAATCATGAGAGACTAGGAAGGGGGAACAAACGTGAGTGGGAGAGTGACGTATACAACACTGGGTGGAAGACGTTAGAACTCTAGGAGGAAGGAATGTGATCAAGAATAGGCAGATAGACTTCAGGAAATGAAACTGTATCATTCTGCATATTCAACTCATTAAGCTGTCTCTTTATATGTATCATTTTTGAAGTTATCCTCTTATTATACAAGGGCTCAACATCCAGAATCCTTACTCCCTCCCAATCAAAGTCATGATCATGCTCAATTCTATGACTAGAAACCACTAAAGGAGATCCCATTTTTTTATGTATGTCCGACCGATGTTCTCTAATTCTCGTCATTAGCTTCCTCTTCGTATGTCCTACGTAGTCCTCGCACCACAATCGTGACAAGAAATCTTGTACACTACACCCTGTTGTGACAATTTACTCAATTTATCTTTACCTCGTCCAATAAATTTATTCAATGTATTAGGTATCGTATATGCTACCTTTTTATGTACATAAGATGCTACAAAGATAAACGATTCAGAAACAGGTTTGATATAAGGAATGGTAAAAAACTTGTCTACCGTCAAAGGCAAAGTTTTTTCCTGACGTAAATTGTGAGAGTGATATTTTAGTCTTTTGTTCATTGTAGAAAAAATCAGTGCCTGATGATAACTATTATTCAGTAATAATTCAATGGCTTTTTTGAAGTTTATTTGGTGAAATTGTGGATGAGATAATAACAAAATCCGATCAACTAAACTAATTATTACCCCGTTTTTGTGACACGGGGGATGATATAAATAAAAGTTTAAAACTCTACCCGAAAATGTAGGCTTGTTATAATTGTCAAAAATAATCCTATTGTTTTTTATCATAATGGTTACATCTAAAAAATTGATTCTATTGTCCATACCATCTCAATGGTAAATTTCAATCTATCATGTACAAAATTAAAACACTCAGTGATAACATCAAAAACTTCTGGAAGGGCTGCCAATAGTATATCGTCTACATATCTGTAATAGATCGGAATATGACAAGAAACTCTTTGTAATGCTATTAACTCTAAATCCTCCATTACTATATTGGCAATGATAGGAGAAAGAGGAGAGCCCATGGGGGTTCCAAAAACCTATCTGTAAACAACCCTTTCAAACAGGAAGTATGTAGATTCCAAAACAGTCCTCATCGCAATTACAAATTCATCTTCCGTCAATTTAGTATTTTTTTCAATAAAAGACCATCTTTTTTTTAAGCTATTAATGGCACTTTCTGTTGGCACATTAGTGAACAACGAAACAACGTCAAGCGACGCTCATTGTAACTTAGAATCAAACTCAGCTCCATTAAACTGTTCGACCAAATGGAAGCTGCTTTTTACGCAGCTACGGGCCTGCGGTATGCTGTTCTTTATTAAATTGTGTAAGAAAAGAGCCAGGTCATACAACGGACTGCTTATAGCACACTATAATTCTCAATGGAGCCCCTGGTTTGTGTATTTTGGGCGCCCCATAAACTCTAGACAAGTCTGAGTCTAGACTGAGTCTGTTTTTAAAAGTCTTTTGTAAGTAAACTCATCAATGAAACCCTTACTCTTCCAACGTTTAAGTAATTCCTTCAAATCATTCGTTATTTTTTTAATTGGATCTTTAGTTATAACTACATAAGTGTTAATGTCAAACAATTGATCTTGCATTTTCTTTAGGTAATCAGATCTATCCAGAAGGACGGTAACATTACCTTTGTCCACGTTAGTAATGAGCAAATCTGGATGGTCATTCACAAATGATTTAATGACTCTAAGGTAGCTAATTTATTTTAAAATTATTGTACATACAAACATGTTATTATGAAGATTTTTGTAACGTTAAATACAGATCACAAAATGAAAACGTGATGAGGGTATCTTGAAGTGATAGACACGAAGATCTGGGGCTCACAATGAAGCTAATTTTTGAGTTCTATATAGTCTGCAGTCAGTCTGAGCGGTATTGAGATGCACGTACAAGAACATTTATATCTTTTAAATTTTGGTATAAATCTGGATTGTTTCTATATTGAAGATGACCTCGTGCTTAGGTCGAAATGTCTGTATTTTTATAGTTTGAAATATGTTCCGTTCGGTTATATTATGTTTTTATATATCTTTAGTGATTATTTTAATTATTAGTGGATAGGAATCGTATAAATATGTATTTTGGACATTTAGTCAATTCGGGGTTACCTGTGAATATTAGCTAAATTTTATATTTTTAGAAAGACCTACTATTATCAGAAATTGACAATGAAATTTTTTAATAAATTATTTTATAGCGATCACACGAACATTAAATTGTTATTGTATTACCAATATAACAGGGCGGGTACTCAAATCTTATAAAAAAATTCCCTGAGAATTCCAGGTTTTTCCATGAATTTTATAAAAAATTCCAGATATGATTAGACATTTCAAAACATTTAATTCAAAAAAATTATATATATATAAACATAACTTGTTTATAATACTATAAAAAATATAATTCTTATATTTAAAAAAATAAAAGTATATTTATAAGTAAATAACATTTATAAGTAAATAATATTTATAGGTAAATAACATTTAAGGTCTGTTCTTTATTCCTGCACTGTCTAAACTGGTGGACAAAGTGCATTGCTTCGTGCAATAAGTTGAAACGGAACAAATATATATTTGTTTCACTTTAATTTATTGCACTGTGCACTGTTCAGGTAGTGTAGGAAAGAACAGACCTCTAGACAATACAAAATACTGAAATCTACTTCTTTAAAGCATTAATTTGTTCGTCTAAGTACATCTACTTTCTTCTGAGCATTTTCTAAAATTCTTAAAAGTTTGACCTCTAACTCTTTTACTTCTAAAATCTTTTTTCTTTTCATAGACGCTTCTTTTGATTGCTTTATTGTTTGCTTCTTGTTCTGCAGCAGATGCTTGCTGCCGACACTGTTCAAGATCTTCTGCGTAACGAGAATGAACGTTTCGAGCACAATGCAAAAAAGCTTTGGATATTTCTAAAGCCTTCGTGTAATACAGCATCATATATTTGACGACGGGCAACTATAGATTTCTCTTTCATATTTTCGAAAAGACATTCAGCATTTATCGAAAAACCTCGTTCTACGTTTGCGTTGCCATGAGAGAGGCAGCCATTCTTACTACAAGGATTAAATCCTTAAAATCTTGGGACACATCTCCCCAAAAATGATCTAAATGTTTTTCAGAACGGTTATAAGATTTCATGATATCCATAATATACGATCACGGCATAAGATCTCGAAATTGCCGAATTACGGCATCAGCTGTTGATCTAGTTATTTGATCTTTTTCGTTAAGAATGGTACACAAACTATGTAAACGTTTCTTGGTTAAGTCTAAATTTGAAGCTATGAGGCTTGGATTTAAACAGGTAACAGCTTTTGTCAGAGGATACGTTAACGGTGATCGTGTTATTAATACGGAAACAAACTTTAGGAGACACTTCTTGCAATCCAATCGAAAGTGTAGCACATCTGCAGTCTTAATATCAACTTTTCTTATTGCTTTTATAATATCAAAACCAAATGTAATATTTTTTCGTTTGATTGGCTGGTTAAATCACGTAATTCAGCGCCATATTTTTACACTATGATAGAATTAGGGCTATAGCAAAGAATGAGACGTAACGAAACGTAGTCGTGGACGTAGAATATGACAGAGAAAAACGTAGATGTCGCAGTACAACACTTATATTTTCCTGTGTTTTACCTACGTCACGATTACGTCTTGTTATGTCTTATTCTCTGCCATAGCCTTTAGGCTGCGATCAAAGTTTCACCATAAATGGTTTGAAGCGTTTAGAAAGAAATGATTTTGTTAAACAAAATAGAATTTAAATTCAAAAATAGAATTCAAAAAAATTCCCTGACAATTTCAATAAAATTCCATGAGAATTCTAGGATTTTCAAGGGTAAAAAAAAATTCCCTGAGAATTCCAGGTTTTCCAGTTTTTTCCCGGTAGGGGACACCCTGTATAAATATACGAAGTTCATGGCTCTTAACTCTTGACTATTTATATACTGGGTCATCGAAAAGTATCGGACCCCCCTAATATCTTCAGTTAGAATGCATTTTGGAGAAAATGTCCAATAACAAAGTTGTATGGTTTCAAGCGAGGAGTAAGATGATGACCTTGACTTTGATCTTGACCATGTCCTTTAAGGTCATTTCAAGGTCAACCTTATTTTTTTAAATGAAACCCCCTACATTTTATTGCATATTTTTATAGCTTATCCCGAGAGCTTTCCAAAACATTATAATAAAACATTTTTTCATTAAGTATAACCGCTTGAAGCCGTACAACTTTGCTATTGGACATTTTTCCAAAATGCATTCTTACTGAAAATATTAGGAGGATCCGACACTTTTTGATTAATGTATTTTCTTTAAACCAATTAATTGGTCTCATTATTCCGCGCACAAAGGTATTAAGGTTATGATTACTGAAAACTAAATAATATTTTACAAGATATTTTACATTTTGTGTCAAAAAATTGTTAACTTCAAACCCTTATAACTCAAAAAGTATTTAATGAAAAAATGTTTTATTATAGTGTTTTGGAAAGCTCTCGAGATAAGCTATAAAAATATGCAATAAAATGTAGGGGGTTCCATTAAAAAAAATAAGATTGACCTTGAAATGACCTTAAAGGACATGGTCAAGATCAAAGTCAAGGTCATTATCTTACTCCTAGCTTGAAACCATACAATTTTGCTATTGGACATTTTCTCCAAAATGTATTCTAACTGAAGATATTAGGGGGGTCCGATACTTTTCGATGACCCTGTATATTAATTTTATTATTTGAGCTGCTGTCATAATTTCTTGATTTTATAATAAATATTTTAATAAGAATAAAAAATCACATTTTGTATTTATAAAATAAATAACTACAAATACATTTAAATCATTTAATATAATTACTCACCTGCCAAAAAAAGCAACTTTCATGTGATCTCTTTTAAGAACATCCTTTATTGCTCGTATTTTATCTATGTAAGCTTTAACTTTTATTGCCTCTTCTACAGTTACAATATTCCGATCATTTTGTAATGCTATTATAATATTGGATAAATTAATTGACAATTCAACAAATACAAGGAGCATCCCAAAAGTATAAATTTCCCTATAGTAGGAAAATAAAATGAAAAATATGATAATTATAAAAACCTTTATTTTATTAACTTGATAATTAAGTTATTTTTCAATGTAGTCAATATTAACATTTAAGCACTTATCGTAACGTGACATCAGTTTTTTTATGCCAGTGATATAAAAAATGTGCATTCTTAAATCAGAACCATGATTTCATTTCAGCCTTGATATCATCATTGCGGTCAAAATTTTTGCCATAAAAATATTTTTTAAGTTCAGGAAACAAGTAAAAATAACTCAGTGCAAAATTTGAAGAGTATGATAAATGACAAAAATCTGACGTACACAGCCTATTGTTTCGAATCTCACCATTAATTTCCATGCGACTGAGTTAATAAACTCTAATCGCCATCGTCAAACTATTTGCACATGCATGGTTTCTATACATAGAAATTAGTTAACAATGAATATTTACTATATTTTCGTTTTTTGTGGTCAAAAACCGAAATATAATTCAGTTAAATAGCACCTCGTTGATTAAAATTTATTCAACTAACAATAATTGCAGTAAAAGTAACTCTAAATGAAAAAAATACTTAAATACTACAGTGAAAAATTTTTACAATGCACAAATTATTTGCATAATGGATTTTTTCCCTACGATAGAGAAACTTATCTTTGGGATGCCCCTTATAAATAAATACATTATGATACTTGCTCTATTTGTTTACTTACATGTCATAAACTCCACGGTTTCCTCCACATATTTTTCTATATCCACAAATATATCATTTATCCTTTTCTTTGCCTTAACAAAGATCTGTAGAGGAGAATTATCATTTCTAACATCTGATCGAAGTTGGCTGTCCCCTCCAATCATGGACGATTGTATCATTGCACGATTGATATAGGCAGCCATATTTTTATTTCTAATATGAATGCAATATATTTGGCAAAAATAATAAAAAAGTACGGTGCAAAGGTGTTGCGGATAGACAATCGGTACAGTGCTCAGCATGCAGGATCAACTGAAATCATAAAAAGCAAAATTTATATATACTTTCAAATATTCAACTTTTATACTACAATACATTTCATAAATGTAGATATTGAAAAAATTAAGAATGCAACAATAACAATAACTTCATTGAGAGTAACAATAAGGATAATTTAATTGCATAAAAGAATTACGGGATACGTATCTCTGCATGCACATGCATTATATGTATACAGGGTCGTCGAAAAGTATCGGACCCCCCTAATATCTTCAGTTAGAATGCATTTTGGAGAAAATGTCCAATAGCAAAGTTGTATGGTTTCAAGCGAGGAGTAAGATGATGGCCCTGACTTTGATCTTGACCATGTCCTTTAAGATCATTTCAAGGTCAACCTTATTTTTTTAAATGAAATCCCCTACATTTTATTGCATATTTTTATAGCTTATCTCGAGAGCTTTCCAAAACACTATAATAAAACATTTTTTCATTAAGTATTTTTTTAGTTATAAAGGTTTGAAATTCTTACTGAAAATGCATTCGTACTGAAAATATTAGGGGGATCCGAAATTTTTTGATTAATGTATTTTCTTTAAACCAATTAATTGGTCTCATTATTCCGCACAAAAATATTAAGGTTATGATTACTGAAAACTAAATATTTTAGTTTAACTTAATATTTTACAAGATATTTTACATTTTGTGTCAAAAAATTGTTAACTTCAAACCTTAATAACTCAAAAAATACTTAATGAAAAAATGTTTTATTATAGTGTTTTGGAAAGCTCTCGAGATAAGCTATAAAAATATTCAATAAAATGTAGG